TAGTAGTAGTAGTAGTAGTAGTAGTAGTAGTAGTAGTAGTAGTAGTAGTAGTAGTAGTAGTAAGAGTAGAGGTCGTAGTAGTAGTAGTAGTAGTAGTCGTGGTAATCGTACTGGTAGTAGAAGAAGCAGGAGTAGTAGTAATAGTAGTAGTAGTAGTAGTAGTAGTAGTAGTAGTAGTAGTAGTAGTAGTAGTAGTAGTAGTCGTTGGTAGTATTAGTAGTAGTAGTAGTAGTAGTAGTAGTAGTAGTAGTAGTAGTAGTAGTAGTAGTAGTAGTAGTAGTAGTAGTAGTAGTAGTAGTAGTAGTAGCAGTAGTAGTAGTAGAAGTAGTAGTAGTAGTAGTAGTAGTAGTAGTAGTAGTAGTAGTAGTAGTAGTAGTAGTAGTAGTAGTAGTAGTAGTAGTAGTAGTAGTAGTAGTAGTAGTAGTAGTAGTAGTAGTAGTAGTAGTAGTAGTAGTAGTAGTAGTAGTAGTAGTAGTAGTAGTAGTAGTAATCGTAGTAGTAGTAGTAGTAGTAGTAGTAGTAGTAGTCGTAGTAATAGTAATAAGAATAATAGTCAAAGTAGTAGTCGTAATAGTAGTAGTAGTAGTAGTAGTAGTAGTAGTAGTAATAGTAGTAGTAGTAGTAGTCGTAGTAGTAGTAGTAGAAGTAGTAGTAGTAGTAGTCGTAGTCGTAGTAGTAGTAGTCGTAGTAGTAGCTTAGTAGAGTAGTAGTACATCCCCCAGACGCGAGTTTTCTCCTCTTGATGCGGTGTGTCGGCTATGTTGTTACCAACAACGGATTGCCTGTGAGATGTGGTGTGTCGGCTAGATGGTAACAACGAATCCGAAGGCCAAAACGCCCATACCCTGGGCGACAGTTTTTTCCTCTTGGGCCCGGAACGACGGTGTGAAGTCTTGAACAGACCCGTATGAGATAACCGCTCTGGATCTCATGAAGTTCGCGCGGATCCTAATGTGGCTTTGGTGTTTGCTTCGGTGGATCCGATGTCCGTCCGTACGGATCCGATTTCGGATTAGCTGGATCCGTGTTCAATGATATTCTCTACGGCGGATCCGATTTCGACCCTGTTTTAAATTTATATTATTAAATTAAATCAGGGGACCGGAAGAAATCTGATCCGCGGACCCCGCAAACCGCCCGTGTTAAGATTCTATGGGGGGGGGGGTCGGTAATCAACTTTCCACGATGGGCCCTGCGTCGTCCCGCGCACTCCCATCAACTCCCCGCGCGAGCGGGCCCCATTCCACATGAAAACATACATCTCTGCCCCCCCGGTTGCTGCAAACAGCTCGTCCGGTCGCCGCCCGTTCGGCGGCGCCGACGTTGTCTCGCGAACTCCTCATGGCCATTGGCCATTTTCACCTCAAGAGGAAAATCTTTCGTCCTGCGTAAATGGAAGTAGTAGTAGTAGTAGTAGTAGTAATAGTAGTAGTAGTAGTAGTAGTAGTAGTAGTAGTTTCAGTAGTAGTAGAAGTAGTAGTAGTAGTAGTAGTAGTAGTAGTAGTGGTAGTAGTAGTAGTATTATTATTATTAGTAGTAGTAGTGGTCATAGTAGTAGTAATTCTATGAATGTAGTAGTAGTAATAGTAAGAGTAGAAGTAGTAGTGGTAGTAGTAGTAGCAGTAGTAGTAGTAGTAGTAGTAGTAGTAGTAGTACTAGTAGTAGTAGTAGTAGTAGTAGTAGTAGTAGTAGTCGTAGTAGTAGTGGTAGTGGTGGTAGTAGTAGTAGTCGTAGTAATCGTAATAGTAGTAGTAGTAGTAGTAGTAGTAGTAGTAGTAGTAGTAGTAGTAGTAGTAGTAGTAGTAGTAGTAGTAGTAGTAGTAGTAGTAGTAGTAGTAGTAGTAGTAGTAGTAGTAGTAGTAGTAGTAGTAGTAGTAGTAGTAGTAGTAGTAGTAGTAGTAGTAGTAGTAGTAGTAGTAGTAGTAGTAGTAGTAGTAGTAGTTAGTAGTAGTAGTAGTAGTAGTAGTAGTAGTAGTAGTAGTAGTAGCAGTAGCAGTAGTAGTAGTAGTAGTAGTAGTAGTAGTAGTAGTAGTAGTAGTAGTCGTAGTCGTAGTCGTAGTAGTAGTAGTAGTAGTAGTCGTAGTAGTCGTAGTAGTAGTAGTAGTAGTAGTAGTAGTAGTAAGAGTAAAAGTAGTAGTAGTAGAAGTAGAAGAAGAAGTAGTAGTAGTAGTAGTAGTAGTAGTAGTAGTAGTAGTAGTCGTGGTAGTAGTAGTAGTAGTAGTAGTAGTAGTAGTAGTAGTAGTAGTAGTAGTAGTAGTAGTAGTAGTAGTCGTAAAGTTGTAGTAGTAGTCGTAGTAGCCTGATAACCGTCTTTACACTGCATGCAATGTAGGAGGCGGACGGGAATAGTGCGGGTAAACTTGTAGGTGCCGCCAATGAGACATCATTCGAAGGGGAGCTGTCCCGCATGAGCTCAACACAATTCTTCCAATCATCGTCATCGTCACCACCATCATCGTCATCACCATCACCGCAACCATACTAATTGGCGACACCGGCATCTTCAACGCCACCTTCGCCCGTCGTGCCATCATCTGCATCTTCATTGCCCAATCGAACTTGTCATCGTCAACGTCACCATCATCATCTGCATCCTAATCGTCCTCATCTCCAAAATTATAAATGTCGTCATCGTACGCCCTCGCTTCGGGGTGTCCTGCGCGCCGGCGCGTTGGACCTCGGGATCGCCTTGCAGGAGGAGTCGCGCGGAGAGAAGGCCAAGGCGAAGACGGAGGCGAGACTAGCGGTGCGAGAAGCAACACTCACAGAGAGAACAAAACATGATGGGATGGCCCGGCGCGCAGTCTCTGTCAGGAGCGATCCCCTGCTGGGCTGCCTTGGCAAGCGGTGTGCGTGTGCGTGTCTTTTGTTGTTTCGTGAAAGATGGGATCTGTAAGAATGTTAGCAAACGTGGACCTCAAACAGTGTGTTTCTAGCAAAATATGCTGTGGAATCTATTTATTCATCTCTGTGGTGTGAGCTACGTGGTGGAAGCTCTATGTGGTGCAGTTTATGTAGTAGGAGCTGGCGTACATGCATGCGTTGAAAGCTATGTGGTATAAGCTCCGTGGTGTCATCTATGTGGTAAGAGCTAGCGTGCTCATGTATGTGGTGTGAGCTACGTGGTACAACCTATGTAGTGCAATCTATGATATAGGAGCTCACGTACTCATCTATGTGGTGTGAGCGATGTCGTGTCAGCTGCGTGATGCAATGGGTGTGGTAAGAGCTAGTTTACTCGCGTATGTGTCGCGAGCTACGTAGTGTAAGTTATGTGGTGCATCTGTGTGGTGGAAGCTAACGTACTCGTCTATGTGGTGTCGTTTATGTGGTGTAAGCTATGCGCTGCAGTCGAAAGAGATCAAACAACGCGCTGCATGCGCGAACAACACAACGTACAACTCATGTGCTGCAATCTGTGTGGAGCAATATACACAGTGCAATCTTTGTGGTGCAATCTATGCGGTGCACTCTATGTGCTGCAATCGATGTTGCGCAATCATGTTGTGCAGTCTTTGTGATTATGCAACTGATGCTGTGCAATCTACCTGCTGCAGTCCATGTTGTGCACTATATATGGTGCAATCCATGTCGTGAGCGATCCACGAGCGCCGCAGGCGCGAATTTTCTCGTGCCAAGAACGTGGTCCAATCCAGCGGCGGCGGCGACGAGGCGGCGACGGGGTGGCTGGCGGCGGGGCGGCGACGGCGATAGCATAGCCGCAGGACCGCTCGCACGGCCCAGACTACAGGCGGCGACGAGGAGGCGATGGGGCGGCGGCGGCCGGAACATGGCCGCCAGACCGCCCACACGGTCCAGCTCCTTAGAGGAGTCTCATCCACATGGTGTGATGCATGTGGCTCTGAAATCTATGTTGCTCAGTTTGTGGGATGCAATCTATGCTGTGCACTATCTGTGGTGCAATCTATGTTGCGGGCGATCAAAAAGTGCGCCGCAGGCGCCGAGTTGTCTCGTGCATTCTATGCTGTCCAGTCCAACGGCGGCGATGGGCGGCGACGAGGCGGCGACGGCGGGAATACATTCGCCAGACCACCCACACGGCCCAGACGACGACAAGCGACGACGAGGCGGCGACGTGGCGGCGACGGCCGGAACACACCCGCCAGACCGCCCACACGGCCCAGACGACGGGCGGCGACGGGGCGGCGACGGCAGGAACATAGCCGCCACCAACGCGGCTAAATTCCCGAGACGAGAAATAAGAACCCCTAAGTGCAGATACGGCAGGTTCGTGCCGTGCCGACTTCGGCGTTGGTTTCTGACACCACGGGGATCGTTCAACATTGAACGATCGGCCGTTGACCAAACGTCCGATCGTTCAACCTCGACCGATTTTGGGTCGCCGGCGAAATTCAACCTTGAACGCCCGCGCTGGGGTCGCCGCTGGTCGACACGACGCGAACATACCGTACTGTTTGGGAAAAACATAGCGAATTGCGCACCAACCCATCTGTTGACGGGCCTGCGCGCTCGCCTCCAAGCATGCGTGCGGAGTTCTGGCTGCCACAGCCGTCGTTTCTTTGACCATTTACCCATGGGTGTCCGAAGGCGTGCGTTCAGACGATGACCGCTTGCGACGCTCTTGAATTTGTGCCCGGCTCTCGTGGCCTAGATTACATATCAAGTTAGTCATGGCCAAATGCGTTGATTTCCGTCAGGGGGAGGTGGGGCAGGAGGACCCCCCAGAAGCCCTCACGACAAATTCACTTTTCGAACCCCGTCAAACCCCAACCCCCTCTTCCCTCTTCCTCCTCGTCCTCCTCTTCCTCCTCTTCCCCCTCTTACCTCGTGGAGGATGAAGAGGTCCCCGGAAACCTCTGGAGGTCTCCAACTACAATTACTACGCAACGCTCCGCAGCGCCCCCCGATGCAGCCATAGGGCGAAGGAGGTCTCCTCCGCCTCCTCCTCCTCCTCCTCCTCCTCCTCCTCCTCCTGCGGTCCGAAGGCCCCGCACTTCACCCTCGATGCCCCTGCGCTTCGCCAGCTCCTTGACCACGCGGTAGAGCAGCTCCGCCGCGACTCCTCCTCCTCCTCCTCCTTATTTTCCTTCCTTCTCCTCCTCCTCTTCCTTTTTTCCTTTTCCTCCTCCTCCTCCTCCTTCTCCGGGTTCCTTCGGCCTCGTGGGGGCGGGCCTTTCTGGGGCGACGGCCCCAGGCGCGCGCCTCCCCTGTCGCGGTGCCGCGGCGCGCGACGATCCCTTGGCGAGGCCTCGGCCCACCGCGGGGCTTCGAGGGGGGGGGGGCAGGCTCGGCGACCTCGGACCCTGCGGATACGGGGGGACGGCCGAGGGGCCGTTCCTGTATGGGGTCCGATTCTTTAGCGAGGCCTCGGCCCACCGCGGGGTTTCGAGGGGGGGGGGGGGCAGGCTTGGCGACCTCGGACCCTGCGCATACGGGGGGACGGCCGAGGGGCCGCTCCTGTGTGGGGTCCGTTGGCGGAAGTCCGTTTTCCTGGGCGCTGCGCAGCGAGCAGTGCGCCAAGTCAGTTTGCCAACCAATACCCGAGCCAACACAGTTGCGGAAGGGATGTCATGGGGAAGTGAGCGGACTTCACACACACACACAGCTCCTGGCGTCACAGATCAGCTCTCGGAGTTGCGCGCGGACCCCTTGGATCGGCGCTGGGCCCCAACCCCCCCCCTCTCTCCCTGGCGCGCAGGGCGCGCCAGGGGCGCTGCTGGAGGCGCCGCCAGGGAGGCCCAGCGCCGATGCAAGGAGCCCGCGCTGACCTGCGACAGCTCATGCACCTGCCCCTTTCTTGCTCCCATCCCGCCCTCATCCCCTCCCTCCTCCTCCTCCGCCTCGGGCCGCTCGCTCATCTCGTCCTCCTCCTCCTCCTCCTCCCCCCTCCTCCTCCTCCTCCTCCTCCTCCTCCTCCTCCTCCTCCTCCTCCTCCTCCTCCTCCTCCCTCCTCCCCCCTCCTCCTCCTCCTCCCCCCCTTTCCACTTCGGGCCGCTCGCTCCTCGCGTCCTCGTCCCCTCCCTCCTCCTCCTCCGCCCTGTCGCTCTGCCGCCGGCGGGGCGCGGGAGGGAGGCCGAGGCCCCTCCCGACGGCCCCTCGCCCCACGAGCACGGCTGCGGGGCAGCCCGAACACACCATCGCCGTGCTGCCGCGAGGAACACAACCAGCACCGACAACAACACCAACAACACCACCACCACCAACACCACCACCACCAACACCAACAACGACAACAACGACAACGACAACAACGACAACAACAACAACGACAACAACAGCAGCAGCAGCAACAACAACAACACCAACAACAACAGCAACAACAACGTCAACAACAACACCAACAACAACAACAGCAACAACAACAGCAACAGCAGCAGCAACAGCAACAACAACACCACTAACAACGACACCGACATCGACAACGACAGCAATACCAACAACAACACCAACACCACCAACAACAACAACACCAACAACAACAACAACAACACCAACACCAACACCAACACCACCACCAACAACAACAACAACAACAACGACGACAACGACAGCAACAGCAACAGCAACAACAACAACAGCAACACCGACACCAATAACAAACATACCAACACAACAACAAGCACCACCACCATCAACAACGACAACAACGACAGCAACAAAGGAGCGAAGGGGATGTCCTGGCAACGGCGAGCCTCGGCCGCGAAGCGGCTCCCCCGACATGGCTCCCAGGAGCCACGCGGGCGCTGGGCAAAACATCACTCTGGAGGCAGCGCGCGCACGCCCGCAGCTGCCCGACAGACCCGTGGCAAAGAGTGGAGGAGGAGGATGGGGGAGGGGGAGGGGGAGGGGGAGGGGGAGGAGGAGGAGGAGGAGAAGGAGGAGGAGGAGGAGGAGGAGGAGGAGGAGGAGGAGGAGGAGGAGGGGAGGAGGAGGAGGTGGAACAAACCAGGGGCGGCACTCGCGAGCAAGAGGACGACGGAGACAACGCGCGCACGGACGTCGGCCTCGGGCGCCCGCGGCCTCCGGCGCCGGGCGACGGGGCTCTTGCAGCGCGCGGGCACCCGGGCCCGTCCCCTCCCCCCGGGGGGTAGACTTCCGATCTGCCGTCGGCTACACGCAAGAGTGACCCTGGGCAAGAGTGACCTCTGGTGCGCGCGGCAAGAGGTCACTCTTACGTCTAGTCGATACACCGCAGCCCCTCCCGAACCCGGCGTGGTCCTCGCTGCAGCCGCCGGCGTCGCCTGGACATCTGCGCTGTCTGCGGGGCCCTCGGGCCGTTCCGCGGCCGCTTCCGCCTCTCGTCCTGCCCCCTCCCTGGCTCCCGCCGTGCTGAGCTACGGACACGTCCCGCCGCTGGCCCGACCGCTCGTCGGATCCAGCTCACCGCATACCAAAAGACTGTGGCTGGAGGAACAAGCAACTGCACAAACATGAACTTTCGACGGTCCGCGCGGATTTCTTGGATCTGCGCTGGGACCGCCTCCCTGGCGCGCGGAGCGCGCCAGGGGCGGCGCTGGAGGTACTAGGGAGGGGGGTCAAGCGCAGATGCAAGCAATCCGCGCGACCCGTCGAAAGTTCAAGCTCATGTAGTTTTTGTTCGGCCGTCTACTCTGCCTTCTCCCCTCCCTCCTGCATGGTGGCACAATTCGCTACAGCGGTACCTCCGCTTACGTAGCCCCCCGCCAGCGCAGTTACCCTGCCTAGCCGCCGACGCAAAACGTTGATGCAGCTTTTCCCCCCACCTCTCATGACGGCGCCAGTTGCCATCCGCGCGGCCTCCCCCCTGCCTCCCAGGATGAAGGGGCCCTGGGACACACAAATGAATACACAAATAAAAAGATTCCCCATATTTTCCTGTATTTTCTGGGTTTCTGTCTTCCCCCCCCAATTCCCATATCTTCCCATATTTTCTGGGGAGTCGACGATTAATTGTGTCTGTGTGTTTCTTCCCCTGCCTCCCAGGAGGGAAGGGAGGAGCCGCCGCCGCGCGCCTGCAGCGCCGACGGCCCCCTGTCCGCCGCCGGCTGGAAGAGGCCGAGGAGACCGCCAGCCCCAAAGCAGCCCCGGTTCAGGCCTCGGCGCTCCGCGCTCGGCCGCCGTGGTCGCCGCCGTTGCCGTCGTCGTCGCCGCAGCCGTCGTCGTCGCCGCGGCGGTCGTGGTCGTCGCCGCGGCCGCCGTCGTGGACGAAGCCGTCTTGTCTTTCTCGTCGTCGTCGTCGCCGCCGCGGCCGCCGTTGTCGACTCGTCGTCGTCGTCGTCGTCGTCGTCGTCGTCGTCGTCGTCGTCGTCGCCGTCGCCGTCGCCGTCGCCGTCGCCGTCGCCGTCGCCTTCGTCGTCGTCGTCGTCGTCCTTCAGGTTCGAAGGTCGAGGTCGTCGTCGTGGGCGTCGTCGTCCTTCAGGTTCGAAGATCGAGGTTGGTGGACGAGGCCTTGGGACACCAGGCCTCGGCGCACGATTTGCTGGCCCACTATGTTTTTGTCTTGCAAGGGCTGGCTAAACAACAAAACATTACAACACGCATCGGTTTTGCAATAACGCTGCCGTGAAGATCGACGAAGCATGCAAAACAATCAGCTAACGCTTGCTTGAAAGGCACATGTGTTGATCGCTCTCAACTTCAGGCGACGGCAGGACTAGGACAACATCGGACCAGGGTAAATCGGGGATCTCTGAGATCCAACAACTCTGGATGATGTATCGGGCGCCGCGGCCGTTCGGGAGCGCTCCAGAACGGTCTGATAATGTTTCGGAACGCTGTGGAAAGATTTAGCCTGGTCCTGTCCCCACCCGACGACTCTTGCTGCAATTACTTTTAGATTTTCACTCCTTCTGTGGCCCCGCAGTGTTACTGGATTCAGGACTCGGTGTACGTTTCGCTGGCCCGCAGTCTGGACTCCTCCGTGGGACGCCGGACGCCGTCGAGGGATCGATGATCAGGGTCGCCCTCGAGGTCGTCGTCGGGGATCGAATTCTTTGACAAGCCTTGGCCCTCCAGAAGCTTCCAGAGGCATCTGGGGACGAGGCTTCTGGACGGATTTGGCCTTTCTAGGGTCTCAACGAGGCCTGCGGAGACGTCCGGAGACATCTGGGGACCTCTGAAGACCTGTGTCCAGTCGGACGAAAACCGTCGGCGGCGAGCGAGGATGGGAAGCGAGAAGGGGCGGGTCTTCTCAGAAGGCTCGGACGGCCTCGGGCCTTCAGAAAAAAATTCTAATCCGTCCCCGACGACACAACAACTTTTTAGAAGGCCGGAGGGCTTCTGAGAAGCCCCGCCGCCTTCTGAGAAGGCCTCTTCCTTCTCACTTCCCCCCCCCCGGCGCGCCGCAGACTCCTTCGGCTGGCCCGAATCTGGGTACCTCCAAAAACCAATACATTCGATGTCTTGTTTTTTTCGATACGGTCCCCCGGAAGTCCAGGTCCTTTCCCTGGGGCTGCCTTTTCATCCTGAGTCGTTTCTCCCCATCTCATAAGTACTGGGTTCTTGTAATTAGTCTGAGGCCTCCGCCTCCCTTCCTCCTCTCCTCCCGCTCTTCTCAGGTCATTCATACTCAGACCCACCCACTGTCATATTCACACTCGTACTCATCATCTTCTGCTCAGTCGAACTCAACACTCAGACCTTCACGCCCAGAACCACCGACATTCATACCCACTCTTAGACCTGGACTCACTCACACCGCAACCGGTCTCGCTCGCACTCGGACGCGCTCGTACCCAACACAATCATACTTACGCTCAGACAGACACACACAGACTCATAGTACAGTCGGGGCGTTGACCTAAGGAACCCTAAATAAGAAAAGAGGCCCCTTTTTCCCATAAGTTCAACCTCGATTTCCCATGGGAAACCTCAGGAACACCTGAGGCAAGCTGTGAAAGACTTAAGGAACACCGAGCCCCTCCCCAACGAAAAGTGTTCCTTATTCAAGCCGCTCACTGTAATGCACATCGATTTCATCTCACTCAAACTCACACACTCGGACTCCCGCACATGCAGACTTACTCGGACATTCTCTGCTGCGAGCCCAAGTGGCCACCGCGAGATATAGTAGGCGTGCCCCGTGGTGGCCCCCCCCAAGGAGGAGCCACCAGGGGGTAAGGAGGAGGAGGAGGAGGAGGAGGAGGAGGAGGAGGAGGAAACACTGGCCCGTTCGCTGCCAGATTTTGGGGATGTCTCGGGCGGTTTGCCGGCCCGGCTGCTCAGACCGACCTGCTTCGAGAGCCCAGCGACCACCGCAGTACAGCAGGCGCGGCATCTGCATGCCCCAGGGAGGAGCCGCCAGGAGGCGCGGCACTTGCCTGTTCGCGGCCTGACTGTGGGGACGTCTCAGGCGGTCTGCTGCGCTTACCCCTCCGGGCTCTTTTCTGCTGACAGCCCCGGGATCACAACGATACAGCAGGCGTGGCACTCGGGCGCCCCGAGGAGGAGCCGCCGGGGGGTACGCCACCTGCCTCTTCGCGGCGAGATCGTGAGGATGCCTCGAGCGGATTGCGTTTTCGGTTGATCAGACTGATCTGTTCGGAACGCCCAGTGATCACCACGGTAGAACAAGTGTGGCACCTGGGCGCCCCTATGGAGGAACCGCCAGGGGGTACGACACTTGCCCGTTCGCAGCCAGACTGTGGGGATGTCACAGGC